TAATTAGTAATTTGAGCAAACCGCTGCGATAGTATTTCATTGCCATTTCGCTGCAAAAAGTTCCCCGGATGATATTTCACCTCGGGTTGATTGAGTTAACGCGCGATAAGCTTCGCTATTCAATGCTTGATGAATCTTATTAATTTTAAGGCTCTGCTCTATTCAAAATTCGGAATTGAAGAAGATCTAAAGGCCATTGAATATATATTAATGTTTAATAAAATTATTAATGAAGAATAGACTAAAAATTAAAAATTGCAAAAATAAAACTGTTTCTTTATGTTTTTTACTTTATTTAGTTAAATTTAAATAAATGAAAGTTATATCCTTTCACGTTTGAAAGCTTGTGTCTTTAATTCTAAGAGCAAACATTGAATTAATTAAAAGTTTCAAATAAAGGAAAGCATTAAAGGACTTTAAGCAATATTGTTTCTCATAACTGATACAAATTTTTGAAATAAAATACTGAATTTTTTAAATTTTTGCGACCACTGTATGCGGTTATGCAGCAATCCGGCAGTATCCATTGGCCTCAATTGTTATCAAACGATGCGCGAGCTGAAAATATTTGCTCGTGAAACTAACAGCAAATTTGCCGTTAGCGATATGGTTATTTTACAATCGCAAAAAATGGGATACTCACAAAATAAAAGCCGCTCGTATCAAGACTAAATTGATCTTAAAACCTGGCTTTATAACGGAAATACAAGTGCGGTGTTTGTTTGTTCGGCTCAGTTTGTAAAAAACTAGATATTCGGACTGCTGCGAGCTTGTAAATGTTATCGTTTCCTCTATAAATTTTAATCGGCTTATCTGTGATTTTTACAACCACGGTTGTTGATCAATATTTCACGTCAATACTAAATCATTCTGTATATTGTGGCGATTATTTTGAACTTATTGTTACACTTTTAGTCGACGAGATAAGAAAATCCGTAACGTATAGCATATATCATCTTCTTAAGCTGTCATCGTTGTGTCGGAACGCGAGTACAGCAACAGGGCAAGTTGAAAGGGTCGCCGACTTGTATTGCGCATTCAAAATCGCGAATGTCCGACTGAAGTTCCCGATCGTCCTCGGATTATTCGGCAGATTCGCGGCGCGTTTCCGACTCCCTGGCAACAACTATATTCAATGACTATCGAAAAACTCTGTGCGAGTCCATCCGGTGTATTCTCGGAAAACTTTCCAATACCGGTCCCGTTGATAGGTAGCTTATATCCGTTATTTTATACGCACGATTATTATGGAGTGATTTTCTTCCTTGACCGAGATCGGCCAGAATTATGTAAAGTGATTTATTGCCGCGAATGCGCGTAGAGTGGCTGGCAAAAGTTACGATCCGCCAATCGGCTGTCTACTTTTCTCTGCCATTCCTCGAGACGAGTTATCGTACTTTTTTACGCCAAGCTCGTTGGTCGTACGTGGATTTATGAGTCGAGTGCAGCGCTGCAAGTGCATCGTGTGTAGGGTTTTCTTGGAAATATTCAAGACGCCACGTATACGCTCTTTTGGATTTATAAAACTAGAACTTACACATTAAATATAAAAGTTGCTATACGATTATTTGAACTGATGAGTATTTAAATAAATTTTAACGAAATTATTGTTATATTTTGGTTTAAATGACACTCATTATATTTTGTTGGAAATTATGATTACAAATTGTGCACCAAAAATTCACATATTAATAAATTTGGAAGTTAATTCTATTTTTAGAAATTATAAAAACAATATAAATTTGAGGTTAAAAATGTGTTTACAATTAAAAATCTTTTTTATAAATAATGTTTATTTTTTAACGAAAAAATGAACATTTTCTGAACAATGTGATAGTTTAATATAAATATAAAATTTTCCAGATATAGTCACGCATAGAAATAAAATTTTTTGAAAGCAATAATTCGCTTAGATATATACGTATGTATTGATGTAATACTGCATAATGCATATTTGCATTTTAATTATTATAATGCTGCAAATTCGCAAATAAAACTACGATATACGCAATATCCTCGTCATGTTGACAAGGCGCCTTGATTGAGACAACCGTATGTTCCAATCAGCAATATGAATTATTAATTTATTCGCGTCGCAGGCAAGCGTTATGAGCAACGGTTATCAGCTAATGGAAAATTGTCAGGAAATTTGTACCTTAGATGTAAAAATTGCACTTAAAAATAATTATTCAACATATATAAATGTAATTAAAATTATAAACGCAGTGATGTGATACGTCTCTACAAATTTTCACTAATTACTTATTATAAATTTATTTTAAATAAACAAAAATATTGATCTATTGATGACAGCGTGAATGTGATGATAACAATAATATAAAGCTTCTTAATTATTAAATCTTCCGTAATAAGATCCACATTTGAACATGTCGAATTACCAGCGAGACAGGACTCGTTTTAGAGCGATGTTTTCGACCGTGACTGAGGATCATCGGAAATGAATCATATAAACTATCCTTTGCGAGGCTACGACATTCGCGTCGCGGTGGCGGGTGCTCGATCACAAGCGATTTGTCGAGGGTGCGAGCAGCGGGAGGAATAATCAGCGCGATGCCAGCAGTAATTAGTAGCTCGCGCGGCGCTTGCGGAAATTGCCGCAGGCGGCCGACTCCCGGGGCTGCAAACACACCGAAATATCTACATATACAGTCATTATCGCGGTCGTTACGCCATTCGAAACGACGACGACACGTAAGGTGCGAGCGCGCGGGCGTGATTTTTGCTCGCGCGGATGCGATTCCGATACGTCACGCGAGCGCAAGTTCAGAGTAATAAATTATTAAATATTATTCTTTTCTCTTACCCTCGTATTTCGTCTTGTTGATACTCACTCTTGTGAAGTCCATTATCTATTGAAACGTACATGGCTCGCGATGAAAAGGACGTTGATTAATTTGACTTGTGCCGAGTAAAACATTTTATATAAAGTTTCATATAAAAACGTTGACAAATTATTAATGAAACAGCTTTTCGAATTAAAACTGGCTTTATCTTATCGCGACAAAGTATTGATATTATAATTTAATGTGATTTTCAGTGCTATTATCGTGCAAAATTTTATAAACGCAGAAAATGCATTAATTTCTCTCCTCTTCAATTCCTCTTTCGCGCATTTGCCTTTTCATCGCATGTGCCATTGTTAACGCGAGAACGTGTTTCTTTTATCTCCCCTGAGCGTGCGCTATTGCTCCTGGATATCTTCGAGCGGATTACGTTTTTCTTTGAAACTCTCTCGATAACGACGTTCCGTGATCACTGGATAGATTGCACAAGATGCGGTTTAACGACGTGTCTGTCTTCGCCCGTTCCAATGATACGATCGAATTAAATCATTCCTTTTTTCTTATTCTCGATTGTCGATGCATTGCGGAGAACTGCGTCCAAGCATTCCATTTAATTTATATGTTAAATGTTGCTTCTGTTTTATAATTTCACTTCCTTCTGTTTTTAATTTACCACTATATTATTTATTTATTTTTTAGACTTGTTTTTCTTTTTTGAACTCGTTGCGCTTGAAAAAGATTTGCATAATATCACTCATCATGCATCATATTTATTTTACGACAATTTTTTCGATATACGTGGTGTGTCTTTATTCGTAAATAAAATATACGCGTATTTTCTACGTTTCGGAAAGGCTATTTCTTGCAATTAAAATTGAATCAAGTCGGATGCTGCGGAACTTAACTGTTCGCTAAGAGATAAATTCTAAATGGGCTTTTTTCTTAATGCCTTGTTAAAATACATTAAAAGAGGCACATTTTTTTAACGCTTATTTTGCAGTAGCGCCATTGAAGCTGACTCGCAGCAGCTACGGCCATAATATTCAATAGATAATTCAATCTCGCGACCTGGATTTTCATTCTCGCTGGCGCGACCGACCTTGCGCCACTCGTTATTCAGTAATCCCCGCGATTAGTGGCAAACGGAATCTCCTCGCACTTCGGAGCATCAGAAGTTATTACTCGTGTCCCTGCGTTACGCGCAGTTTATTTTCATTAGGACGCCCGCGATACCCGGCCGCAACGCCGCACGATCCACGTTGTTACATTATATTGCGCGCGGACTTCTGACACACACACGGCTATACGATATCGATGATCGATAGCTCAATAATAAGGTACTATCTTGTAGTAATGACTTCCACGCTATTATAGTCGCGCGCATGTCATGTCGTGTCCTAGTAATGCAGTTGTTAATTTATGACATAACTTTAAAGCAATTGCTACTCTGTATAATTACCATTATTGTTGTTTCGCCTTCCTGAATTGCAACGTGATGTGTTATGACATACTTCATGCACAGTGTGTAGATTATTAGCTCGACTGTGCGTCAGCTCGAGCACTTGTTATTTAATTTTTCGTGTAAATTGCAATTTTTGCAAAATGTATTATTCTTTGGCATGTATAGAAGAAATTCCACTTCTGACACATATAGTATAACGACATTGGCTCGTGAAAATGTAAAAATTTATGTAGTGTTATTTTTTAGCATTTAAAATTATGTAAATGGTTTATATTTTAAGTAAATCGGATGAAAAGAGCATATTGTTTCAATAGTACAAAATAGATATGTATTATTATGCTCTTGCAAATTTGACGATATATGTCCTAAATATTATATTGGTTTTTTTTAATGAATTCAAGCTATATTGGATAATTTTAGTGAAGTGTGGAAATTCTCGCAAATTGAGTAATTATAACTTGTGGGTGGCCTACATATTTAACTTTTCAACGTGAGTTTTCAAATAAATGCGGACGCTCGCTTTACTGGTTTTCGATAAACGTGAAAAGAGTTATATGCATAAAGGAATACACAATGAAAAATATTTTCGACCATGTCGCTATCGAGCAAGCGCCAATTATTTATCGAAGAATTTTATTAATTTCGCAAATTCTTATTCACGTTTACGTATTTATCAATAATTTTACGTTGCGGAAAATGTGTGAAAAAAATAATCAGGCATTTTCTCTGTCAAGTTAGCATCGTTTATTGAAGAAGGATAAACTATATTTACAATGATATTCGATACGTTATCGCTGCGTGTATAATATCGGACGTTGTTGCCTTTGGTATGCAAGACGGAAGTATCAACGTTGACGATTCGGGAAGAAAAATTTAATTAATGCCAGGTACAGAAAAGAGCGATCAGTCATGGCGTGCCATGGCGGTTCTCGCATGCCTCAGAATCCCGCGTGCGACAACGCGGCGGCGTAATCGTGAAGATGACTTTGAGTGTCCGCCTCGTGTCCCTGACCGCCGTACACACCGCCCGAATGATCGTTCTTCCCGGAAGTGTGTATCACCGCGCGAAATCCCTCCTTGTCGGCGTGATAGCTGACGACACGAAGGCTGCCACCCGGATCTTTCACACTATATTCGCCGGTCACACTGCTTCCTACGAAAAAAGAGTAATCGATAGGAGAGACTGAAATATAACTCTCATTTATATTTATAAAGTTACGGTGGACTAGATAATACGAGATATCGATTTGAAGACGTCATTAATTAGTCTAATAATGCGGAATCGACAGCTATCCGCCGATCATATGTATATTGGCGACCAGAAATATCTGAAGACATAAAGCTGCATCAATCTTTATTCACAATTAGAATTATGACGTCCTTAAGTTTGGCTTTTCTAGTCGTTTGACATATATAAATAGTTAAATATGAAGTTAAAGTTGATATGTGTGTGTTTGTCACAATAAGTCACAATTTAATCAATGAAAATATAATTTAAAATTTTGAATAATCGTCTATTGTAAGAATTGATGCAACTATAATTATCCAAGCATTTATGATCGCTTGTGTGCAAACATAATATTTAAAAAATATTTTATTACAAATTATTATCTTTAATAATTAATATAATTTTAAAATTGAAACAATTTGAATATTATATTATCTTCATTCTCTCTGTTGTTTCATTGTTGCTCTCTAATGAAAACACAGCGGGATTTGTAAAAATATTTTGATCAGATTATTTACCAATTATTTTAACTATATAATTTATATAATTTTAAATAATTCCAACTTGCGTATATATAGAGAGTATTAGTATAAAATGCTTGCAACAATTTTATAGATATATTCTTTTACAAATTTGCAGTCAATTTTTTCTACGATAAAAATTTTAATTTTAATCAGAGAAATTATTTTATTTCACAGAATATCGTGATATATTTTAATTAATAAAGTGCTGTTGAAGCAAAATATCTACTCGCAATGAGATGTGAAGATTCTTTTATTTATTAAAATTTCTACTTCTCGAAAAATATTTTGTACTTTTAATAGAGTTTGTAATTCAAAAGCCGCGCTAAACACTTCAATACACTTGAGCTAAGGAAAAATCGACTGCAACTTGGTCAAAGACCACGCCTGTAAAGTTTGCTCAATTCTGGTGAGTTTGTACCTCTACAGCTGCACTCTTTTACAACTGCGATATCACATCGATGCGCCGTTGACGCCGGTTTACAATTCCTCGAGTCAACTTTGCGATCCGAAAGTAAGAAAACGTAGTTCCAACTGAATGGTTGACACGACATACGGCGATACACACAGATACACGTATACGCATACGCTCGCACTCACGACATGTCATAGGGTAGCGCTCGCGGGCAGTCTCCGCGGAAATGCAATTTTCTTTTCACCCGCGGCAATTTTTGCCG